GGACGGACCTGATTTTCCTCATCCGGTTCCGGCACTGCTGCCTGCTCCGAAACCAGCGCTGCGTCCTGGCCTACCTGTGAGTGCGGAGGGAGGGAGGCCGCCGCCCGCCGAGTTGGGCCCCGGGGGCAGGGGATTACTCCGCGAGATGAAGCAGTTAGGCAGCTGCGGGGCTGGTTCTCCTCGTGCACACTGCTGGTAGCACCACAAAGAGAAGGCTCTGCTTCGCCCTGCTCTGTAAAGTTTTGATGCATAGACAGGCCAGAAATCAGGTGGAGTGATGCAAGTGTTTGCCCGCTGCTTTGAGGGCAGGCTGGAGCATCAGTGTTGCCTGGGGGTGTTGCCAGCACTCACCTCAGCTCTGGGTTTGCTCTGTTTCTTCCCCCAGGTATGACCGGTTGCTGCGGATCCGAGCACTAAGGTGGGAGTATGGCAGTGTCCTGCCAAATGCCATCCAGTTTCACATGTCAGCTGAGGAAGTGAGTCAACCTTGTCTTAAACTCTTCCCCGCCTTCCACTTATTCCTCCTGATGGATTATCTGGTTTAATAGAGTCAGAATAGGGTAGTCTTCTCTTTCCTCCACTTAAGATGCCTTTCTGTAAATACTTGTTTATTTATACATCCCCAAATGGACACTGATTAAGGATCAGGTCATCTTCAGTAGATCAGACTTGGCAGCCAGCAGAACTAGGTCTGCACGTGCTGCTCTCAAATGCTATCACAGAGCTGCCAACATTAGTAACACATGTCCTACCCTGAAAGCAGATTGTGCTGCCTCTGGAGCAGCTTTTCCTTTTAGAAGTTGTATTCACCTTTGGGTGGCATGAGCACACTTGGGAACAGTGGTCTGACAGCACAAATAAACCAGATCTGACTCATCGGGACCTGTGTTTCAGCACTAGCTGTTTGGCTTTGCCTGAGGGATCACTGTTAATGTCTGCAGGTGGAGTGGTTCAATCAGTACAAAAAGTCTCTGGCTACCTACATGAGGTCAGTAGGAGGAGAGGAGGGTCTGGACCTTACACAGGACATAAAACCTCCTAAAAGCCTGTACATTGAAGTAAGTGCAAGATTTGTGGTTTCTATCTGTGAACATTTACCCAAACAACTTTTTTTTTTGAGAATTTCATCCCCATCCCATGTCAGGTCATTGAACAGAGCCTTTGAGAGCACCAAAGCTTCCACAGGCTTTTACTTCTACCGAGGACACAAAATACACTGAAAGATGGCATTTCTAGTCTGCAGGGAATTTGTGGAGGGATGAGTTATCCAGTGAGAAGCTTTTGCAGCATTTGCAGAAACTTAACCAACTCTCAGATCAGCTAGAAACCAAGTTCCCATGTTAAGGACTGTTAACTATGGTTTTTTGTTGTTTTTTTTTGAAATGAAGTCTTATAGATGAGACTATAAATTGCTTTACACAATTGATACAACAAAGCAAGAGCACATGAGAAATCAGAACAAGTAGATGTAGTTCTGCATTCTGATGTTCTTTTCAAAAGAACATGTAGTGACAATAAACCTCCTTTAGCAGGTTCACTGTTATAACAGATTTGCATTTACTGGTATATGGTGGTTTGGAGGTTCTCCTAGAAATGCTACTGCTGTTCACTGGATCCTGTCTCTTGTGCTCCTCTACAAGTCTCTGGAGGGCTGGGTTGGGCTGCTCACTGTTCCTTCTTGCTCCATTTAGAGACAGGAAGAGAATGTCAGGTGGAGCCCACAGACCATGGGATCAGTTCAGTTGAGTCCAGGTCTGCTTTGTATTGAGGCTCCTGCAGGCAAGTGGGAATGTGTCCGTATTTACAATCCTGGGGCACACGTTGTAAGTCAGCAGTGATGTCTAGTGTTTTCTGTGGGAGATAGAATGGTCTGAAAGCTGTGTTTCCACTTTGTAGGTACGGTGTTTGAGAGACCATGGAGAATTCGAGATTGATGATGGTACCACCATCCTGTTGAAGAAGAACAGCCAGGTACCTGTGACGAGAATGTGGTCCATTCTCTTCCTTCCCTTTCACTCCTGTGACATTGCCCTGCTTATCCCAGCTTTGCAGCATGTCACAGTTCCTGCACACACAGCTCCTTGCACATGCTGCAAGCTCTCTGTGTGGCCCAAACTGCAGGTCTGCCTGATCTGGTATCATGATGCAGTAGGTATATAACACAACAAACAGAGCTGGTTCTGTGTGGCAACAAATCCAGTCTGCCTTTGTTTCAAGGAAAGCTTTTCTGTGTTTCTATGCAGCACTTTTTACCCCGCTGGAAATGTGAGCAGTTAATCAGACAAGGAGTCCTGGAGCACATTCTGTCCTGAGTGTGCAGGACAGGAGGGAAAGCCCTTGCTTGGTGGGCTGCCAGAAATGAACTCTGGTGCGTGCAGGACTTTAGGCACCTCAGCATTTCTGCAGTGGCACCCTGACACTCCCAACAGCCTTTGTTGATGCCTTACTTGAGGATCAGCCCACTATTACGCAAACCACACTGGCCAGTTCTTCATGAGCAAAGAGCGCATACTGGTAATGTAGCAATCCTGGGAATCCAGTGGGGGTGGGGGTGGCATTATCGAAGCCCCACAGCTACAACCAGTGTTTGGGAATGCATTTGTTTGGAGCAGTTCTTTGTTCACACTGTGCATGTGGGAGTGAGACACCAACTGGCTGGGCTCTGGAAGCCAGGAAAGCTCCATGGTTGCAAAATAAAGAACTGCTTCAGCCTTCCTCTAGTGGTTTTTAAGAGGTGATGTGTTCATTAAACTCCCTGATCTGGCTCTCTAGCCCATCCCATCTTGACCTTGCAGTGTGATGGTTAAGTGTTTCAGTAGAACTGCTTCTCTAAGTGTCAGATAAGGCTGCACATGCTTCTTTCCAGGATTATATGTGAAGCCTTGTCTCCCATCAGGGACCTATAAATGTTCCCTAAGGTGCTGTATGAATGAGCACTGCAGTCTGGGTCACGGGGCTTTGTTTCTCCCAGTGTGCTTGGGCTGTGCCTCTGTTCCTCTATGAAGAATGTCCTTCCCCAGAGCACTGGTGTGGCAGGGCCTGTTTGGAGGAGGGGTGGGAAAGGGAGCAGAGGGTTGGTAAGGATTCCAGTTATGCAAAACCGGAACAATGCTGAGGAGCTGCTCCCCCTAATGGAGCTGCTCACTCCTGAGTAGTAGCTGAGAGAACACTTGCAAAAAACATTTAGCCCTAAGATGTTTGCTTAGCCCCCATCTCTGAGTGGAGCTGGAAAAGCAAATAGTTGGGCAAGAATTCAGGAACAGGATAAATGCCTGAGGCACTACTGCACTGTTCTCCCATCCTCAGCCAATGAATCTCCCAGAGCTAGTCCACACCCTCTCTGGGGCTTCCCTCCTTGTAATAGCCCAGCTTCCCTTGTGGCCCTTACAAGGGCTGCCCCCAAGCAAAGAGGAATCTCAGCTGTCATGCATCAAGGCAAAAAACTATGGTTAATCCAAGGAGGCCTCCTCATTCACAGCCTCCAGCCATCTCTGGGCACTGTACCAGGGTTGTACATTGTACCAGTGTACCTCTGCACTGGCAGAGGGGCAGCCTTAAACACCGTAATCGAGTTTCAGCTTACAGTCAGTTTTTTGTTCCTGAACCAATGACAGCCTGAGTTATTTTTAAGCCCTCTTTTTTGTACTGACTTGGTCCAGCCTCTGTGTTGCTACCCTGAAGTAATGAGGCTTGTCTAGTCTCCCATACAGTAGTTTCCATAGCCCCCAAAATCCTAGGAATCCTTTCACGACTAGTGGCAATCACAGCCCCTACGTAAATATCCTCTGCTCTGGAGAGAGCAAGGCAGGGGCACTGTGGCAATGATGCACCTTCCAAGCAGAGGGTAACACCCTGGGCTGATCAATACATGTGGTATTTGCTGATGTGAATGCTTGGCCTTTTAGACAACTTACTTTGGCAAGAGCTGTACTCTGCAAGTGTGTGAAGGTCACCAAGGAAGGCAAGAGGACACAGTTGACTTATCATGTTTCCTGGTCTCTGAAGTGCAGTGCTGAGTAGGGGTCATCAACCCTGCCCCAAACCTTGGAAGCTCAAACTGAAAGAAGGCTCTCACCTCAGCCCCTCTGTCCTGCTCACTGCAGAGGCAACAGTCTGGTTGGTTCTGGATCCTAGGCTCAGGCTTTAGGAGGGCCAGAGTCTCCTAGAACCCAAAAGGAGCTGTAGGAAATTGAAGTTCAGCAACAGTTGGGGCAGGCTGCTGAAATACAGAGCAGACTGCAGATGGCAGCACGTGCTGTAATATTACAAACATTTTAATGCCACAACACAGCTTTCCTGCTTGGAGCAAGCCAGATGCAGGAACCTGTAAAGCCCTTTTGCCCTGGCTTTCCACCCATAACAGTGTGGCCCCAACATCAGCTCTCCACAGAGGGAGCATTTGTATCATCACCAGAGTTCAAAAAGGGATGGCTGCCTTGAGACAGACCTGACTTATAACAGCACACACTGCCACTGAGAAAGGCACCAAAGCTGGTGCTTTCAGTTGGAAAACTCAGCTATCCACAGGACCAATTTCCTTAAAGGATTCTGTTTGAGTTCTCCATTTTCTAAAGAAAATCCTGACAAGACCAGGGAGGACAAGGCTGGTTTCCCAACCCATCCATACCTCCCCCCTTCTATACCTGACAAGCCCCACCCAGGACTGGGGCAGAGCTGTCACTGCATGTGTCCCATCACCCACTCAGGAATGCTGGTGTGATTTTTCCAATAAGCTGCTTCAGAGCTGAGGCTTGCTCCTCCAGCAGCTGATTCTTCTCCTCCGTGCTCTTCTGCTTCAGCTCAGCAGCCTGCAGGGCCATTGCAAAGCCCCTGTTCTCCCCACAGAGGTCTTCAATCAGTAGTTTGTTCCTGGAGATTTGGTCCTATAGCAGGGACAGGAGGCTTCAGGTTCAGCATCCACACAGGGGTACCAGACAGGCAGGAACACACAGCATGAACACCTCTTGCACTCACCTGGGCAACTCTGAGCTGAGCCACCCTCTCTGCCAGCACAGCTTCAGCACTCTTCAGATTGTGTTCCAGTCCCTCTGCATGCTCCACAGCTGCCTGCAGCAGATGCTCATGTTTCTCCTGCAGCAGGCAAGAAAGTCTGTTGTTGAATTGTCCCAGCATTCACCTGGTCCCTGGTAACCCTAGACTGTACATTTCCCCAGGGCCCTGTTCACAGACCTTCACACTCCTTGAAGAAGAGTGCGGGAGAGGCAAAGGTGCTGGATGCAAAGAGCAATGGAACAGGTGTCTAGAGCAGTACAACCTTCCCTAGTTCTGCACCAATCAGTTTTAAGACAAGGCACAGATTTCCCAGCAATGCTTTCTATAAAAACAAGGTAATGGCCTCCCCTCTCCCAGACATTTCCAGAAAAGCCCAGGGAGAGACACAGTTTCCTTGGATGCAGCTTTTGTGCCTGCTTATATAATTCCTCAGATTATAATTTGCTCCATTTTTGCCCAGGTTAGTTCAGTTGAATCACATGACAAGCTCACAAAAACCCCACACCTTGTTGCCCAGTGCCCTAGAGATAAACCACCCCACTCTGTGCAGGCTACATTTCTGTGCAGAAGGCTCAAACTTTCTTTTCCCAGCCTGAGCCAACAATCTCTCCCTGAATAACTCCTCCTCTAGGCACAAAGTAGATACTTGGTCTGGAGTATGTGGATTAGAGTGGGGAGGGCTCATGAGGAACTGCAATTCAGTTGCAGCTGAATTTTAAGGTAAGTAAATTTTCCATGTTGGTTCTTTATATACAGTATCTTCCACCCAAACCTCCAGTGGCTTCAACCACAACTGCCTTCCAGGCTGGCAGGCTAGCAGTGTTTCCCTCATGGTACCTGCAATTCCCTGCTTACCTGGGTCCTGACCAGCTGCCTGCATGTTTGCTCAGCCTGACGGTGGAGGCTTTCCTGGAGCTGCTGAGTCTTGCACTGTTCCTCTCTCAAGGTGGTTTGCAGCTGTTCCAACTGCTTCTTTGGCACCATGTTGTTTAACTGGGCGTTGGCCTGCTGCAACTGCAGAGCATGCCAAGTCTGGGCCAGACTCAGGCTTGCTTTGGCTTGTAAAAGCTGTAACACAGAAAGGTCAATAGCTGGTTACAGCTTTGAGGCAACAATGGGACAGGCTCAGGGTGTGTAGTGGGTGAGAGGAGAGGTTAGGTACTGCCCTTACCCCCACCTTGGCCCTCACGCCAGCATGGCCACAGCAGAGCTGCAGGACCATGGGAGTGGTACTTACCGGGCAGCCTGCAAAGCAAGGGATTTAGAGCACCAAGAGCTGCAGGAGGATATACAGAGACCTCTCGCTGAGAGATGCTCCCTTTTCTGAGTAGTGAGGAGCAGGATTTGCTGAAGGGATCCTCTGGGAAGGAATACCAGCACCAAGGGCCACAATGGCAAGAGGCAGAGAGGACAGCTCACCTTGGTTCTTAGATTCAATGTCCTCTGCCTCCTGCCACTAGCAAAGGGCAAACATAGGGCTGGGAAGCAGATTTGGTCCACCTTTGCACTAAGGCTACCTTGGGGTGGCTGGCATGGGTAAGCTGTACTTTGGAAAGCCAGTCCCTGAGCCTGTCCCCAGGGTAGAATGCAAGAGAATTAACACATTTGAAGGTTTCTCACATTGGCTTTTCTCTCTATCCTAGCAATCCTAATTCCCCTGCTATGATCACTTTGTTTCCCTTCCCTAGGCATGGCCTGTCTCACTGCTGTTATCCCAGCCCAGCCCCTACCAGATCCTGCCATTCCCCCAGCTTCTCTGCCATGGGAAACCACAGCTCCTGGCACCCCTGTGTGAGCCACCTTCACTCAGCCTCCATCCCCTCTGCCCAGGACAAGGATGGAGGGACAGCTGTGAGCAAGGACCTGTCCAAAGCTCCACCTGAACTGGCTTTAGACATATCTGAGGAGGGAGAGTCCTTTGCCCCCACAAAGAGGAAGAGGACACGTTTTTTCTGCCAGGGGAAGGTGTCCACTACAGCCCCAAGCAGAGCAATACCAACATGACAGAGATCACTCAGCAGCCTGCCACCAACTGAAGGACACCCACCTTCTCCTGTAAGGCCCTGAGCTGCTGCTGGAGCAGCTCCTTCTCCATCCAACATGCTGCATGCTTCTGGTGGTACTCCAGCCTTGCAGTCATCTCAGATCCTTGTAGCCACTTGGTCTCTGCAAGCCTCTGGCTCTGTAGCTGGGCAGTGCCAGGGCCAGCACTGTAACCAACCTTGTGCCCAGCAAGGTCACAGCCCAGCTGATGCATGTTGACATTTCTATGGGAGACCTCGTTCTTGCTCTTCTCACT